TGAAGCATGACATTTGTTTATATATATATATATAGATATAGATATATATAAAAACTAAATGTTCTCAGCAGAGAAACCAGATCACTGCAGCACCGGAGGAGAAGAGCAACAAGAAGCACAGGAAATGTACAAATATAAATAAAGATATAAAAAGTGCTGGGAATGGGCTTTAACGTGCCGTTGAGAACATTTTAAAAGAGAAAATTCTTCCGTTGAACTGGAAGAGCAGAAAACAGCATCATGAACGTGTGCAAAACATCAACCGTACAATGATTGAAAACAACTTATGTACAATAAATCACTGTCTAATACACATCTAAATATGTACCACAAACTACCACACGGCTAAGTACAAACCTCATGACTGCTGTGTGTGAGGGAAAAAAAACGTACCAAACGTAAATATATTTGTATCAATCTGAAAAATATATATTATCTTATTTACAGAAAAAGCAGAAGAGCACATAACTGGGCAATAACTGAAGCTGAAGTGTAACAATTTATCTCAACATGAAGGAGAGGAACATTCTAGCATCTTGTTTTCACAATCAAAATGTACATTCTGTTATCTGCCGTTTGAAAGAAAAGCCTAAAAGTCTCTGAAGTTCGGTCATGTGCGTCCACTACAAGGCCAACATGTGTTCGGTGTGAGATTTTGTCCGTGTTTTGAGAAAGTCAAAGCTGAGGGAGGAGTCTGCAGCGGGCTCAGCAGGACTCCATCAGTCCTGCGCTCGTGTTCCCAGGAGACCTGCGATACTGAGTTTTGGTGTTGGTGACCGCACCGTGCTTCTGCCGGAGATGAAGCCTGAGCTGACTCTTGTGTCGGAAGTGGAGGTCACAGTTTTCACACTGCGAGGAGAAGGAAAAAAAACATTTTAGGATTAAGCAATCGTGGCGCAGACGGGGTGAAGAAGAGGAGAGGAGGAAGCATGAGGCTCACATGATAAGGCTTCTCTCCTGTGTGAATGCGCATGTGGCTCTTGAGCGTCTGAAGGTGGCGGAAGTGCGTGCCGCAGATCTCGCAGGGGTACGGTTTCTCTCCGGTGTGGATCAGCACGTGGGCGCGGAGGTGGGCCACCTGGAGGAGAACGAGGGGGGTATTAAACCACCACCAGAGGGTTTTCTCTGACGCTCGGGGAGGTTTGGTTCTTACCTGGACGAAGCGAGAGCCACAGGTCTCACACTTGTAGGGCTTTTCTCCAGAGTGGATCCGGGCGTGGGTCTTCAGGTTGGCCGGTCGGTTGAACTGAGCGCCGCAGATGTTGCAGTGGTACGGCTTGGCGCCTGCAAGTTGACAGAAGCGGTGAATAAAGCAGCTCTGTGAGCAGCGCCTGCCTCTACGGGACACATCCCAGCCAGACTCACCGGTGTGAACCGTCTTGTGGCTCGCCAGGTTGCCCTTGTAGCGGAAGGCGGCCTGGCAGCAGTCACACTTGTACGGTTTGTCGCTGTGGACCTGGACCATGTGGTCTTTCAGCGACTCTTCCTCTGCAAATTTTGAGTCACATCCGTTGCAGAAATAACTTTCTGCAGGAGGAAGTGGACAAAAAGAAGAAAAGACGAGTGAGTTTCGTGCGGTTTTTCAGACGGAATATCAGCCAGCGTGATGACTGTCTTACCACAGCTGGAGGGGGAATAATCTGAGCGCGTCTTCATGGCCTCGTCTGAACTGTAGGAGCCAGGAGACAGGTGATTGGTGTCCATCTGATGGAGACTGTCGCAGCTAGAAGAGAAGAGTCAGGGTTTATTTAAAGTGCCTGTGATGTCAATTTTTTGTGATACATTTGAATGAATTTTTAGAAAGAGGACATTAATAAAATAAAGCAAAAGAAATTTCATGTCACTGAGATGAACAGTTGGTGAGATTTTTGCCTGTAAAGTAACAAGAAGTGACGTCAAAGGGTGATGTCTGCATGTAAACAGAGCATTGCTACAACAGCTGATAGCCCAGACTGTAGAGAAGAATCTGATGTTTCTGTAGATTATTTTGAGTCTATCAGAGATGAAGAATCAGAGTTCAAATAATGATTCATTAAACAAAGACCAGAGAGGTTTCTTTGTTAAAGATTTCCCCTCTGATGTCACTTCCTGTTTCACTTTGGCTGAGCCAATTAAAAAAAAAGGCCAGTTATGTGACAAAATGGGTTAAATTGTGTGTATTATTACAACTTTCTTAAATATAAAGCTGTTTTCTTTGACTTTTTGTATTTGAAGAACATGCACGTCACAGGCGCTTTAAAGTTTGTTGTGTTGTTGTGACACTTCTGAACAGGGTTGTGGTTTCACCTGTTGCTGCAGCTGAGTTCACTCCGAGGTGAAGGCATGTCCTCCCTGTGGCTGCCGGCGTCTTCCTCCCCCTGGGACTCGCCGCGCCCCGCTGCTGCCTCACTCCTGGAGGGGCTCGGTGATGGGGAGTCTGCCTCTTCTCTCTGAGCCTCCTTCTCCTCCGAGCTCTGGTTCATGACGATGAATTTGTACTTCTTCCAGTTGCGGGCCTTGGCATATCTGGGGCAGTCTGAGGGCTGTTTGAGGCCCAGGCTGGCGTTGATGCTGCTGCTGGACTCGGTGGGGGAGTTGGGCTGGCAGTCAGACCGGAGGGGGCTTTGGGGACTGCAAATGACACCTTTGCTGCAGCTCGGGGACAATCGGAGACAGCCAGTCTGAGGGTGGGGAATGTTCTCTCCCTCTGCGGGAGCGGCGGGGTCTCGAAGGCTGCCGTGAGCTGCTGCGGGTCGGACGAAGGAGCAGGGGAAAGCCAGCTTCTTGGGACCCTCCAGAGACCCGGCAGCAACACGAAGGTCTCCGTAGACGTGATAGGACCCGCTGGTGTTGATGCCCCTGAAGACGCTGGGGATGTAACCGCCACACTCCTGCAGGGTGGACGATCTGGACAAGTTCCTGAAGTCTGGATCTTGTTCTTCAGTCATATACGAGGAGTTATTCTGCAGTTCCTCCATCTGCATGTCCAGAGACTGCTGCCTACAGAAAGACCCTCAGTCAGACCCCTCCACTCTCACAGAAACAACACAATGTACTACTACTACTTTCTGTAGTTTCCTGACCTGGCYTTGATGAACCTGTGGCAGGTGTCCGCTACATGCTCCATCTGGAGGAAGACAGCCGCGTTCAGGGTAGTCAAAACCAGACTGTCGTTAAGGTTCAGGCAGGACGTGTACATGAAGTCCAGCAGGAGGGAGAAACCTTGAGGGTCCACTTGGGGGTCCAAGTTAATGGTATTAAGGTTGCTGTTCTCAGGTCGCATGAACATAGAATAGAAGTAGCCACTGTGGAGAGTCAGAAATCACCAAGATTGTTAGTAAAACTATGAAATCATGTCTGAAAACGGAGCTGCAGAGTCACAGTAAACGTCTCACATACCTGCAGGCCACCAGGATGGCCTTGTGAGCGCGGAAAAGCTGTCCGTCCACCTGAATGGTGACGTCCGTCAGGAGGTTTCGGCTGCGGAGCCGGTTGAAGTTGAGCAGGACGTCGCCTGCGTGCCGTGTGAACTGAACGCAGCCATCTGCAGTCGTGGCCATGTTGTCGCAATCTGTGTGCAGTGAGAAAAATATAATGAGAATTAAATTCACTGAACTGGTTACTGACATGAAAATGAGCAACATCTTTTTTTTTTTAGAACATCAATGCTTCTCAAGTTACAGAAACTTTCTAAATCACGTGACAAACTCAAGGCGAGTGACTCCCCCTGTGGCCCGCCATGGGGGTTACACCCCCCCACCCAATTTTTTTTATTTAACCTAAAAATTGTTTCCTATATCAAAGGAAAACTTTAAATTAATGATTAAATGCAACAAAATAAATTTAAAAGGTGAAAGATAACTATTGTCCTGCCCCTGAGCTGTTGGCTTTAAATAACTGAGCAATTTAGTTGGATAGAACAGTCTGAAAATAAGCTGCTTTAAAGTCAGCATCAACCATAAACTAAATCTGCATAAGACATACTTACTATAAACTCATCAGTGAGTAAAACTTTTTTAGTTTTACTTTTAATAATATTTCTGTATTTATTTCAGATTTAGTCAGTCATACACTTAGATCTTATCAGTGTTTAAAAGTGGACATATTAAAAC